CAGTTCTAATGCAGTCAAGGACACTTTCTATCACGAACTGAACACGCTGCTACGCAGTGCTACTAGCTCAGATATTGTAGTACTTGCAGGGGATATGAACGCACAAGTAGGGCGTCTGAGCTCTTCAGAAGCTCAGCTGGGTGGTAAGTATGGACTTAACGCCGAACGGACTGACAACGGCGAGCGTCTGCTGCAACTGTGTGCGGAGCACCAGTTGTTTCTTAGTAGCACTGCTTTTAGACACAGTGGGCGCCGAAGTGCCACTTGGCGTCCTCCTGTAGCTGGTCAGCGATGGACCCAAATTGACCACATAGCCATAAGTTACAGGTGGCGCGGTTCCATTCTGGATTGCCGCTCATACTGGAGTACCTGTGTCGACTCCGACCATGCCTTGGTGCGCTGTCGTTTCTCCATGAACTTTACCGGAAGGCGCACAAAGCGTCTCCCCGATTGGCAACGGAGAAATTGTCCCAGCCCTCTGTCAGGCAAGCCTATCAAGAAGCACTGCATAGCGAACTCTCGCTGTCTTGTCCTAATGACACTGAACTTCAGTGGAATAGGATCTCGGCCGCTATGCACGACGCAGGAGCATCTGCTTGTGGCACTATCAGTCGTCATCGCACCAGTCACTGGATATCCGAGAGGTCCGTGAACCTTTTGGAAGCTAGAAGGCACCTCCCGGCTGGTTCTGAACACAATGTGACCAGACGGGCTATTAGGCGTGAACTAAAGCGGAGCCTACGTGCTGACAAGGAAGCCTGGTGGACCAGTCGGGCTCAAGAAATGGAGGAGGCAGGAGCAGTAGGCAATTACCGCAAGCTCTTCCAGCTAATCCGCACCACTGGTCCGAGGAAACCAGGCGTCAGTGAGTCAATCAGGGACAGCGCGGGTGCGCTGATACACAATAAGGAGCGCCGTATGGCTCGTTGGGCTGAACACTTTCAAGATCAGTTCAGCTGGCCCCCTGCTCCCGGACCTCTTCCTACTCAGGTGATGCAGGACGAGCCATGGACGGTTAGTTTAGAGCCCCCGTCGGAGGCCGAGGTCCGAAACGCGATCACAGCCCTCAATCGTTTTCGTGCCGCTGGCCCGGATTCCCTACCACCTGCACTATTTAAGGATGGAGGTGAGGTCCTCTGCAAAGCACTGACCTCCCTATTCGAACGTATCTGGAACGAAGAGAGTGTGCCGGCTAATTGGAGCGAATCGATTATAGTGGCAATATACAAAAAGGGCGGTCGCACAGACTGTGCGAACCACAGGGGTATTAGCCTAACGCCAGTTGTGACAAAATTACTGGCCTCGATTATCGTTCGTCGTCTCACTGCAGAACGGGAATCTCGGATTAGAGAAGAGCAGGCCGGTTTTCGCCCAGGACGTGGCTGTATAGACCATATATTTACTTTGCGGCAGGTGCTAGAGCAACGCCACGCATACCGCAGACCGACAATAGCTGTGTTCCTCGATTTCAAGAGTGCGTTCGATTCAGTCGATCGATCGATTCTGTTCGAAATACTTGCGCGAAAAGGTGTTCCCACGAAATATGTGAACATCCTTCGTGCTCTATACTCGAACACTAGAGGCCGCGTCAGGGTCTATGGTGCCCTATCGGATAGCTTTTCGACTACAAGTGGCGTTCGACAGGGTTGCCCGATTTCCCCGTTTTTGTTCAATTTCGTAGTGGATTCTATCATGGAGTGTTCCCTTGCGGAATCTCACGATGTAGGTGTTGAAGTGCTGCCTGGTGAACGGTTAGTTGATCTAGATTATGCGGACGATATCGTCTTGCTTTTCGACAATGTTGAGGCGGCACAATCAACCCTGAATAGCCTGTCGAGAGTGGTCCCATTATTTGGTATGCACTTCGCACCTTCAAAGTGCAAAGTGTTGCTGCAGGACCACCAGCCACTCGATGACCCCTTGACGCTTGCTAACGAGGAACTCGAGATGGTTGATCAATTCAATTATCTTGGCAGCTGCATCAGCAATGATGGGCGCATAGAAACTGACGTGAGCTCACGCATTGCAAAGGCCAGAGCTGCCTTCTTGAACCTGCGTCATCTTTGGCGACAGAAGGGAGTTTCCCTCCGTCTGAAAGGCCGTGTATACAAGGCCACAGTGAGGGCCGTTCTGCTTTATAGTAGTGAGACTTGGCCCCTTCGGTCTGAAGATCTGAGGCGCCTTCAAGTCTTTGATCATCGTTGTTTGCGAAGCATTGCTGGTGTCGGATGGCACCAGCGTGTCCGCAACGATGATGTGCGTAGGCGAGTACTAGGTGGTGATGATCATGCTAGCTCGCTAGAACAACAGATAGCACTGAATAAGTTACGTTGGCTCGGGCACGTGCTACGCATGCCTGGTCACCGCTTACCTAGGAGGGCCTTGTTCAGTCTACCAGGTGTCGGATGGCGCAAGGCTCGAGGTGGACAGAAGTTGACTTGGCAGCGGGAAATGAAGTCACTGACGACCAAACTGGGTGCCGTTGGTCCGTCTCGCCTTCCGGGTTGGAGCCCACGTGACTCACCTTGTGCTTGGCTCGAGACTTTACAGGACATGGCTCGCAACCGACACCAGTGGCGCGTCTGCTGCCGTCTCCTAATTGGATTGTCTGTTTAAAGTGTGTTTGGTGCTGAGTTATCTGCGGGGTAATGGCTGATTATGACGCGTGGCAGTGAAAGCCGCAAGGAAGCTGTCTCGCCGATGCCGCCTTATCTTTGCACGATAGCCAGCTGTTTGTGACGGAATGTTGTTAACACAAGGTGTAGGCGCCTTGACCCTGAATGTTTGCTTAGGGCATTAAGGTTTTCAGGTAAGTCCCCCTTCTCTCCCTCTTCTTATTCTTTATTTCATAAGTCCTCATGGTTGTATGGCAGCGAAGCATCAGTTCAAATGGCTGATGTACTGCTGTTGATGATGATGATGATGATGATGGAGAGGCTGTGTCCAAAACTGTCACTCAATATGGAGCACGAGCGTGGACTGACCACGCACTTGTCTGCGCCGACCTCCGGGTGCGTTTCGGTGGAAGTCCGCAACGTTGGTGTGAACGGATTGACATCAGCCAGCTGGCGAAGCCAGATGTTCTGGATGTGTATCAAAATGCGCTGACATCTGGGCTAAGTAAGCGCGGATGAATTGAATCAGGACCGGAGGCTTTAGAGGGATTAATGCCTTGCAGTAGCTCGAAGACCTGAGTCTCCGTTATGCTAAATTCAGCTAAGCAAGAATCCTCTGGAACACTTGAAACCAATTCAACCTGTGGTAAAGAGATCTCCCGAGCAAAGACCCCAGTATACTGATCAATAAGTATGCAAGCCTTGTCATAGTCAGTTTGCGCACGGGTCCCGTTTGCTCGCAATAACGCTGGTATAGACAGTTTTGCCCCGCTGCGTCTTTTAACGTAAGCAAAAAACTTCTTGGGATTAGCTGCGGCCGAGTCCGCTAAACCCTGCTCGTATTGGAGACGAGCAGTTCTGAGATGTTGCTTACATTTATTTCTAATCTCTCGATAACTATCATAGGTACTGGCTGATGGAGCTGCTTGGTAAGTTCGCCAGCATCTAGACCGTTTTATGAGTAGGTACTTGCCTGTGGTATTTATCCATGGAGGCTGTGCCCTTAACCCTCTTTTCCTCATGAGTGGAATATAGGGAGTCGAAACCTCCGTAAGGTATGCCTTAAATTTATCCCAGGCTAACTGGACAGAGTCAGCCATCGAGATCTCACAATTCAGAACTGAAGCCTTAGCTCGTATTGCACTAAAGTCCGCCCGCCAAATATTCGGAAGTAATTTAACAGTGGTTTCTTAGTGCCTTGAAAGAGCACATCGAAAGGATATGCATGTGTGATCGCTGGACACTAGAGGTGCACCGTATGAAAAGTCAGTCACGAAGTCCAGGGACTTAGCGAAAACCAAATCTAAAGTAGATGGTATTTGGTTGTCCATATACCTAGTGGGAAAGGCCACGAACTGGTGCAAAAGCACTTGGAGAGTCAGTTAAAGAAAGTCTGCACCGAATGTTCCTGATGCCGAATTGCAAGAAAGATCGGCCAAACAGACTTCCGGGTTGAAATACCCTAGAACTAAACATTTATTCGCAAACTGAGTGCGAATAAAGTCAAGTATCCCTCTGGAAGAACTTCCAGGACTTCTGTATATCACTATAACTGTAAACTGAGTAGAGGAAGTACACAAAACAGCCGATAGGGCTTCAACAGTCTGATCTGACGACTGGAATGTGCAGGTCCTCAACGCATCTAAGTTACAGCTCAAATACAGTACAACACCTCCGCTTTGGCGACCAACGGAGCAATCAGTTCTAAGCAGCGCGTAGCCAGGTTAACATACCTCACCGTCCGTGATATCCGGGGACAACCACGTTTCAGTGAAAGCGAGTATGTCGGGACGAGATTTGTCTACAAGTAGACCCACCTCGTGTACCTTGTTCCTTAGGCTACGCACATTACTAAGCACTACCCGAAGGAACTCGGCACGACCAGCCCTGGGTCGTACGCTAACAGGAGGGGTTCTGGTAGGGCAGAATTTAACTTCCGGCTGACCATCTGAAAATCCACAAGACGAAGGCCTTGATCACCAGCCGCCCGCCTGCTCTTGAGGCTTTTGATGGCTTCCGTTAACTTCAGTCGATCTGCCAGTGGGAGGTCCGGCTGAACGCTGACATTACTACCCTTGATTTTGAATGCAAAGCGCATTAACGCTTTGCGTTCCTCCGGGGTTGAGACGACTACATGAAGCAGTCTGGGTCGCGGATTTGCCGTCTATGGGGACGTTCCCCAATCTGGTTAGTTTCCTGATAGTGACACCGAGGAAACCAGGTGGAAGCATCTTGTCGACGCAGAGCTTGAACCACTGGAGGTCATCCAGCATGCCTTCCTTTGGAAGAGCTGCCGCGGATTCAGCAAAGTTACGAAAGATAACGCTACTATCAGTCCAAAAGAGGGAGCATTTAATCGAACAACTTCCGGGCCGTTGCACTCACATATCAGGATAAGAATTAAGGGCAGAATAAGCATTCTCTGAACGAGCGTAGCTATACGTGTGTCCGTAAGCCAAAAGCGAACCTAGCACAGCCGCCAGATCTTACTTTCCTGATTCATGCAAATATACACGACGTCTTAAATTTCAGCTTCGCCAGACTAGCATTTGCATGGTTCTTTGACATCCCTGTCGATAAATATTACACCTGTCCATCGTATTAACTTTATACAACTATTTTATTTTCAACCGTAGTAGGTCAGGTCAGGTACAATGGACGATAGAGGCTTTCGCCCAAAGAGCGTCCAATTACTTGTGGCGGTAAGTGAAGCGGCACAGGGCACTTTGACTTGACTCTTCCTGATTCTGCAAAGTAATGAAGCAAGAGAGCAATTGTAAACGCAAGCTTTGCACTTTCATATGTCAACATCAAAATGTACTAATATTCCGATACAATTACAAGATCTCAGAAAGAATGTATGCATATTCCTCTCTGTTCTGATTTCGTGTACAAAGCTCCATGCTTGACAACCTTTTTTAAAGGCATTATAACTTAGTTGGTTAGGTTAATTTTCCTTTTAGTACTATTCCCATGGGCTTATAAGATCTACCAAGTACTGCAGCTGAACTTCAGACGCCAAGCCCGTATGCTGCCATGTGAACGCCACTACCCCGCGCAGGTTCGAAAAAGCACGCGACTGATGATGTGCTAATCCACAAGTCCTATATGGAAACCGGACAGATAAAAAAATTTCTTCATACTTCTAATTGCTTATGCGCAACAGTATTATTACTAAGCTAATTTTCTCATGAATTTCGAGAACTGAGCCTTGCGCAAAGGATTGGCTAGGTTCAAGAAATTAAAAGTTGTTAACTATAAATTTTCATTAGTAGTACTTTAAAATTACTGATAAAAATTGCATTGGTTGTACTGCGTTTCAACTTTTACGCAATCCTTGCAAAATAGTTTGTGTTTCACACGTGTGCTGTATTATAGTGCAAGGCTTAACAATCATTCAAATCTATAAATTGTGCGATGACGGCCATCACCATAGAAACCGAACACAGTAAATTTGTTTCGAACGACTTTCAGTTGCACTAGCCAAATAGTGTTTGCTATGCAAATGGTAGGCTATTTACTTCTCTCAGGATTGCACATGGACAAAATATTCTAAATAAAATGTCTCCTATCGGATTACAGCTTATTGCAAGTTGGGTGTAAACCTTAGCACTAATTTCAACGTCAATTTCAAGTGGGAATGGAATGATAAGAGTGTCCCGTGGGCGCGCCTTCTTCACCAGGTCGTTTAGCCGGAAAATGACGAAGGGCCCTGAAATAGAGGGGGCCGTTTGATTGCACTATGAAGAAAATGTGGTGCTTGAGGTCGTTCCGTGGTACAAAATGGTACATAGCAACGGTGTAACCTATCGACGTTGTCAAGGAGGAGAAGTGCGCAATATCTGGAAAGTGTATGTGATATTGGTTTGTGTAATGAATTGTGATGCAATGAAAAGTGTTAAGGACAATGGTGCAAATGTAAGCTGTTCCTTTTATTATTTCGGTGGCCATACTTGACGTTGCTGCTACTGCTATGCTTGTGGATGACAGTGAGCTCTTTAGGTCCTTTGCTAAGAGGAAGTATGACAGGGTTGAAGAAATGGATTAGCATTTGGGACGCTTTCAGATTGAAACGGCGACTTGTTTCCCCCGAATGACCTTAGTGTCCGCGGCGGTATACATGGGTGGAAGGGGAAAGCAGCTGCCCGATGCAGTGGCTACTGTTACATCCTGTACCGCTGCGTTCCTTGGAAACGTTCCGGATCTCGTGTCAAGCGGTGAGTTCATAGTTATCCATCACGTTAACTAATGCAGGTAGGTAGAAATCGAATGATGGCAAGATACGGTTCTCCGTGGTTAGTAAGCAGGGTAGATATGTCTTCGGAAGTTACTGCATGATCCATTTTCATGCTTTCTACGTGGGTAACCCTGGTTGTACTCACGGAATCGTCGCCTGTCACCCCGACAAGAGATGGAAGTGCTACGGTTGATGGACAGTTTGCACAGCACATTGGATTTGAGGCGGTTCATCTATCAGGAATACGGCAAGTGCGTAACCCGCATGGACCTCAGCAATTTGCGCAACGCCATTGAAGTACAACATCATGTGAAGTTTCAAAGGCGGAGACCATGTTGCAACTTCACGGGGTTTGCCGGTTGGAGTCGGAGGGAAACCAGATTCGGTATGTGTTCTTTTCTCCACCTGCTGTCCGTAGCGTCGTTAAACGATATGGTGAGGTTTTATTAATCGATGCTACACACCAGTTAAATTATGCGGGATACGTATTGTGGCATTACATGTTCGTGGACATCACTTGTCCAGGGATTTCTTATTGATACGCCATTTTACCGGATGAGACGTCCTACAGCTATGGACAAGCGGTGGAGGCGGGGCGGGAAATGGTGCCAAGCAGCAGACATTGCCGCACTGTATTGATGTATAAATGTGCAGCTCATCTGAGGGCGTTTCATCGTTTCTATCCAAAAGCACACCTTGTGTTTTGCCAATACCATGTGAAACGTGACGTGGCTAGACAGTGCGGTCGCTTACCCGGTATATCGGATGCTCGAAGAATACAGTTAGAGGTGTGTCTCGTTTTACAGAGAATATACTATTTATTTATTTATTTTAGTTACGCACGTGGCTGCATAACCTGATCTACGCTCGTGATGCTTGCCTGTTTGAAAGGTTATTGAACGCGTTGCGATTGGGTAATGCGGAATGCTACGGTTATTTGTGCGGAACATGGCTCCAATACGCAGAGTCTTGGCGGCTCACAGACAGAGGGATGTTGTGCTTTCGTGTGCCATACGACCAACAGGGTGGAGAATGAAAACAAACATCTGAAGGTGTATTTGTCTGAGTGATCCTCCTTGCCGACTCTCTTCACCTGCATCGTTGATCGGGTCAGCAGTTGCGTGCGTGAACGGAACAGCATAATAGGTAGACATAGCATGAGCGCGGTTTCCATTCCATCGGAGGTGTCCTCTGTGGCTTCGGTTTACACACAGATTAGTGATTTCGCAGAGAATGTATTTCTAGCTCATTTCCGTGCATCCTGAGTTCTCGGTTGTCGGTCCGATGGGCCGTATTGGTTAGTTTCCTGTCCTCGGTCCAAGGTGGGCAGCGTTTACATCACTCGTAAGAGCAATTGTGATTGCGAGTTCAGTCGGCAATGGCGGCCGCTAGTTGCTCACATTTGTTACGTTGCTTGCCTTCACGGACATTAGGCTGATGACATACTTCATGAAGGTCGGTGGAACGTGCCCCTGCAAGCTCCCGGAGGTAGCTCAGGCAATATGCCGGAGAGTAGCTTGTTGGAGGTCAGAGATCGTCAGTCCGCGGATAGCAATGTCGTTGTCAGCCGTACTATGGAACTGCGCAAGATCCTAGAGGTGTTGTCGGACATTAGCACCCAATTATGCAGCTACGGATCGGAAGACTTCTCTGCCGGTTGGAGCGCCTTGAAAATGCGTGCGTTTGTGATGTCCAAGGAGGCCAGTTTTCAGTTGTATGGTCGCACATCAAAGTGGCCTCTTGCCCCCTTCCCCTGGATACGGAGGCGAATGTACGGATCTTAAGTGGTTTACCAATGCCGGGAACCTGACATGAGGTCACAGCGGTCGCCGTAGCCTCTACGTCCGGAGGCGAGTTTCCGAAGCCCGTGCAGGCTCCTGAGGTGAAGGACGTTCGCCCGATGAGTTCAACGCAACCCCCAGTTCCCTCCACATCGGCAACAGGGTCATGGAAGCGCAAATCGCCACTGAGGTGCCGCGTGACGGAGGTCAGCCCCAGTAAAAGTGCTCTAAGGGACAAAGATGTTCGGAAGCTTTACACTACCACATCCTCCTATGGGTTGCCGGTTAAACGGAGACGTCTTACTCAGGGAGGTGATTCCGATGACTTCTGTGGAGGCTGTCAACGGGAGGATGATGTCCAAAGTCACGATGACGCCATGCGGTGGGTTATGTGCGAGGTCTACTTGCGTTGTTACCAAGCATCCTGCGTTATCTACGCGGGTGACGCGGATTTCGTTTGTTTCCCTTGCTCGGCGTAGTGCCTTCGCTACCTCGGGAAACGGCTACGGATGACAAGCCCTCTAGATATGTCTCATTTGCACGCTCATCCCTTATGCCTCGTCTGGTTATTGCAGCCTGCATTGCATCTTCCTTTGCTTGTGATTCCGTGTACCTAACACCTGAATGACGTGTGACTCTGCAGTGTCTTGAACTTCCCAAGCAACACCCTCTTAGCGGCAGCTGCGCCTCACTGAAGTGCGCAGGTAGGTTTCTATTGTGGTGCGTAAATGATGCTTCAGGTCTGCATCATCATTTTGAATTACAACCTTGGCGTAATGCAGCCCACCGCACTGCTGACATTCCACCTCCAGGTAAGATTCCTTCTCTGCTCGCACTCAAGCATCATGCATAATTATAGAAAATCCGATTCCACCGATTTGCAAGGTATTCCGTTAAGCGTCGCCCGGTGTTTTCCCAGTTAGCATACCGCATGCTCAGGCTTAACGAGCAAACGTTTGTGTACCAGCCAATGGTTGGTGGTGCGTTGCTTCTCATTTCTTTGATGAGGTGGCTGCAATGACGTGCCATGAAGCCCATACTTCTTACACTGCCATCTTCGCTTACCGGTGTTTCTAATACCTAGGGTTGCCGCTTTAGCATGACATTAACCGGAGTACTTCTTGCCCATTCGTGCGCATGGAACCGCAATAACCGGGGAGTGTAGCAGTCCATTTCTTACGCTGAAGCCCATTCCCAAACGACAGGTTTCGGATCATGATAACAGGTAAGGTTGCATTTCGCAATCAGTTAGCTTTCAACGGACACGGATACAGTGCAAACCCGCCGCCGTTTGCAGGTATGTTAACCGGCGTCGGCATTGCGGCATAAGCCGGGCATGTTGTTCACCGACATACGCCGACAAGCCCAGCATGTTTCTCGAGCTGCG